GATGTCCTGGAGCTGGCACAGCTTCACCTGGGTTCTCCCATCAAGGCTGCCATTTAGGAGAGACTTTTAGGTTGTGTTTATCCATGCAAAAGAGCTGCAACTGCAGCCCAGGAGCTTCCCTCTCTCTGCAAGTCCCAGGGGCTTGAAGGTGGATTCCTGTTTATTTCCTTAAGCAGCTCTATTCATAGCCTTCAAAAGCTGCCAAGCCGCATCCGTCAGGCCCAAGAGGACTCAAAAGTGCATCTTAGGTCAACATCAGAAGCAGGGTGGGACTGCCTGGAGTGAGCAGCATTTGCTGCACTTCTCCATTGGAAGCTTTATTGCATCTTCTGCAGGTCATAGATGCCTCTCCAATGCGTGGTCTCGAGCAAAAGCGAAGTTGGGCTGAGACAGCAGACTGCAATTCAGGGACACAACATCCCTGTGTTCAGCATTAATAGAGAACAGCCTCTTGCAGCAAGGGAGAAGTCATTTTAGGAAAGGCAATCAGGTCCTTTGGGTACTGGAGGCATTGGACTGGGACCAAGCTCAGCCAGGCTGGATGTGGCCAGACCACGCATGGGAGCTTCAAAGCGGCTGAAGATCTGTCCCATCTGCTGGTGCCCAGTGCAACGGCTCCAGGCAGGGCTGTGGGGACTCTGCTGCTGGGACGCAGTGGGGGCTATGGCAGAGGGGTTATAGCTACCACCCGCTCTGGGGGTAGCTGGGGGCAGGCCCAGCTGCGATGTTCAGACCTGATGCCCACCAGAGGCATCCAGGGCAGTGTAGCTGCGGCACACAGAGCTCTCTGCTTGCACATGGCCCTAGGGGACAGCTGCAGGAGCCCACGCACAGAGTGGAAAGAGCAAGCCATCCCACAGCAAGCATGTTCTGCCTCCTTGCTCCGCAGCCTGCTCCCAGGTCGTGACTCACCGCAGAGCCATGCGCAGCTGGATTTCCACCCGCTGCCCCGAAGCCCTCTGGTTTACAGCTGAAAATCTGCAATGACATCCACTTCTCCTTCTCTGTCTGCTCCTGGGAGAGACAGCACCCCATTTGCCTGCACCACCCCATTGAGCCAGCTCACTCCCAGTCCATCTGCAGAGCACTGAGGCTCAGGCTCTCCCTGTCCAGGCATTGGAAGGGACCTTGGCTGGGTGTCAGTCTGCTCCATCTGGACCAGACATCAGTCCTACTGCTGAGCCCATGGGACTGCGGAGAAGTAAGACAAAGACAGACAGTCTCAGGCAAGTTCCCAGCACAGTTTGGGTTCATCCTGCCCTGTGCAGTTGGTCCTTTCAGTGGCCATGCATCTGCTTAGTGCAAGTCTAGAGAGCACAGCCTTTCTGCCTCTGGTCTGCTTCTGAAATGGAAAAAACCAGAAACGCTCCTGCAAGACCTGCTGACACACTCACATGTAGCAGGAGAGCTGGGACGTTCCTGGGGTAAGCAGTTTCCTGTCTGCTCGGCACTTACTCGTCTCATTCACCTTTTCCTGAGCTGGGTGCTGGGTTCCCTTTTCCTGAGCTATGAGGATCTCAGCCCCCAGCCACACACCCAGCAATGAACACGTAGTAAAATGACATTCCCGCAGTGGTTCCAGGGCATCCTGTTTATTTATATGCACTTTGGGTTCATTGTTTTGCAGCAGTGTCCACCAGTGATTAATGCAGAAACATCCTCTCCAGAAAAACTCATTAGAGAATCCCTCCCAGAGCAGAGAGAGCTCGTTAAGGTTCCTCCTCTAAGGTTCCTCCTCTAAGACTCCTTAGATTGACAGATTTGTGAGTAGGAGACAGCAGGATTACTAATCCTCACTTGTATCACTTCCACCAAGCTGCTCACTCTCGTTTCTCTCCTTCTCTTGCAGCAGAATTGTTCCCCTCTTGGAGAGCACCAGGGTTTTCTCAACTGCGCCAGCCCAGATCTGCTCGACCTGGCTTAAAATGGGATGAAGGAATTTGGATTTTGAACTGGGGTTAGCTGGAGTTCAAACCTCAGCCCTGCAAACCCCTTGGCTTTGCTGTAAACTAAGCTCAGGCCTCAAGGGGTCTTGTCCTGTTTGCTGTTTCCATTGGAGTTTGTGCAGCCACTTCAGCTGGGAGCGAGTGCCGGCAGACATGGTGTCCGTCAGCTGTGCCCCAACAACCCTGCTGGCACGTGGCCGGAGAGCCTGAGCTGGACCTCCAAGGCAGGCAGCACTGCGAGGGCTCCCAGAGCTGGCGAGGCCCCTTGGGTGACCTCCTGCACATCCAGTGCCCCCCATGGGATAAGATGAGCTTCTAGCATATATGAGGTCCAGTCTTCCTCCTGGTAGCCTGACACCAAAATCTCCTCTTTGATGGTCCTGCTAAGCCTTGTAAGTGTGGAGAGGACTTTTCAGGGCTTCCTTTGCAAGCTCTCAGTCATTTCTGGAGCTCCTCAAAGCTGCTGAGATCAAAGAGTCAGCCAGTTTCTCTAAGCTCTTGTTTCCCTCTCCATGCGATCCCACTCCATCCCATGACTGACAACGCACACCCGGGCCTGGCAGCGTGCCCCTCACGAGGAGGAGGACCTGGCTGTCCCCACCATGTGCATGGAGGACCGTGAGGACCCCTCACTCCCACCCACACAGGGCTCACCACCACGAGCGTGGGGGCCATCGCCAAGTGTGGCTGCATCACTGCAGCGGGCTGCTTTTACTTTCACTCAAGACCAGGGTTTAAGCCGCCACGTATATAAAGAAATCCCTATTATAATTATCTTCCTGGCACTATCATTTGTTTAAGCCCTTAGCAGAGGGCTTAGCTTCAGGCTACAGTGCAAAGCACCGAGCAATTGCCACGTTGTCAGTTCGAAAAGACGTGGTTTCTTTTCTCTTCTTTTTTTTTTTTTTCCCTCCCTAAAATTTTTTCCAGATGTCTCCTTTTTTTTTTTTTTTTTCCTTAAGAGAAGTACCAGCAGCTGTACAATTTCAATGCGAGCCGTGACTAATCCAGCGCAGAGAGCATTCAACGAGAACATTCAGCTCCTCAGGGTGCAAATCAAGCAAATGAAACTTTAGTTCAGGGGATGTGTGACCTCTGGAGCCAAACTGGACCTACGAGTGGCACTGAGCTGCACATGGGAGCTATGGACACTTGTGGTGGGAGGAGAAGATGCTCCAGATGCCTGCCACAGGCCGTTGGCTGCATTGGATGGACCTATGTGGTCTTAGACACCATCACAAAGCTGGCCTCCACATGGACCCGAGAGGGTCGCATGGGGTATTTATGGATGTCTCTGTGGGTGGTATCAACATCCACATATCATCACACAGGGATGGCTTTTGAGAGGTGTGTAGCCAAGTAAAGAAACGAGTGAAGAAGACTTTCTCCTCTTGTTCTTTGCTGCCAGCCTCCCAGGCTGCCTGTTCACAGAGATCGACCATCTCACTGGGAAGCGATGATGGTTTCTCACGGCCTCATTCCCTATCTTTCCCCTCCCCTTTCCCTTTCTGGTTTGTTTATTTTTTGTTTCTTGTCGGCCATATGGATGTTTAGTCTGACATCGGTTTCTTTCACTTACAGCAGAAGTGCCGTGAGGCTGGACAAGGACTGAGCTGATAAAGAATCACAAATCACAAAATAACAGGCGTCCTACAGAGCAAGGAGCCAGCACAGCCCAGCGGGTTCTTATGTTGACATCTAAATCCTTAGCAACATCAATGGGAAGAGTTAAGCACCCAGGTCGATGTCTCAGCCCCTCTCAAAGATAGTGTGTAATCACGAGGAACGAACCCGAACCCCAGGCAGCCAAGACAAAACATGATGTTGCATTTTGTTATGGTCTTGGGTGTCCTTCAACCAGCATCTGCAATCAGACTGCTGGTGCCAGATGACATGTCCTCAGTCCTGCTGCCTACAGGAGCCTTCCAGGAGCTCCTGGAGAGCAACCTTGCATTACCCTGGCCAGGGTGAGGGTTGGTGCCACCGGAGGATCACAAGCTGCCAAGAGCTGGACTATCTGCAGTGCACAGGGAAGCCCTGTATGACATGGAGACACTCTTCAGGGGTGCCCAAATTCCAGCAATTTGACAGCCTCTCCTTTTGGCTGCTGGTTTTACTTTGTGAGGCAGCGCCATGGCCATGCTGGTGCATGAAGGCGTGCTGCCTGGTTCTGCCAGGAGAGCAGATGAACCTTAAATCCTCTCAGTCATGCTGAGATGCAAGGAGAGAGGAGCTGGGTTTTCATGCTGAGCATCGAGAGGAACAGATGGGAAAATTCAACTCCAAATAGCTTCGCTGCCTGGCTGCCTCTGGCTGGGCAGCTGCTCTAGCTGAGTTATGATCTCTTGGGTTGAAATACTCAGTGATGTCTGAAAAGACCATTGGATACCACTGACCAGCAATTTCAACTGTGGGCTTTGCTCGATTGGTCCAGATCTGCTGGATGATAACCACGGCAGAGAAACCAATCTGCTGAGGGTCACAACTCCCAGCCCAGCACTTCTCTGCCTACTTGGAGGATATTTCAGACATGACATGACTCTCCACATCCTCTGGATCATTCTTTCCTCTCCCTCACCACACGGCAGTCCCATATGGCAGCAGTGTTAGGAGAGAGGATGGAGGGGCGAGGACTCTCCTGCCTTCCTCTGCATCCACCCGTGGACGGGAAACACCAGCTCTGGGTGCTCAGCTACCCCCTTGTGAAATGGCAGCATGTAACGCTTTAATTGCAAGAGGCCAAGGTACCAGGAGGCACACAAACCAAGCAGAGAGATGGTGTTCCTCCCTGCTCCCCCTGTACTGTTAATCCGACAGAGAGCCAGAGCACTGACAAACTCATTGCAGCAGTGCAGGCAGCTGCTGTGACAACAACTCCGCCGGGAAGGTTGTTCTGGGGCTGATCTGTCCCTGCAAGAGACCCCCTTGATCTCCAGCCCTGCTTGATTTCTCTGGTCTACCCTTTGGACCCAGGCTGGGCCTCAGCCCGTCTTTGGGGCGGGTGGGACTGCCCACTGGGGAGAGAGGGAGAGGAAGAGACCGATTTGGAAAGATAGCGAGGAGGAGGAGGAGGAGAGGCAGCGGGAAACCCAGCCCACCCTTTGGCTTCCTCCTGCCTCCTTCTAAAACCTGCAGATTCCTCCAGCCCGTCCAAGCGCCTGAAGTTTCCTCAGCCCTGCTGCCGGGACTGCGAGGTATGGCCCGAGACCTTCGTGTTTGCCTTTGCCGCGCTATTTCTCCCAGCATGGGGGTCCCGATAGCCCCACTTGTGGGGGTCCCTGGCCCAGGAGCCGCTCTCCTGGCCCATGGGGTGCATCTGCTTCTCGGCAATGCATCACTCGGGGTCCCACAGCATCTGCCTCCCCACCCCGAGTGATGTGTTGAGAGACCTCTCCTGACTGCTGCTCTTTCTCCTCTCCTCAGCGTCTCCGCTCCGGAGTCTGTTACTCTATTTCACTGCCAGCTTACCAACATTAACGCTTTGGTGACATCTGACTGTAAAGCTTTAACCTGCCCTAATGTTTCTGTCTCCTCCCCTTTTCCCCTCTGGGTTTGCAGCTGTGGGGTATTTCCTTAGCGAGATGCTCGAGACCAACTTCTGGGCACATCAAACCAACCTGCAGCGCAAATCCGGTCTAGTTACAGACCAGTCCCGATTACACCCAGTCTGAGGTGCGTTGGCAGGTGATATTTTACTCACCAGAATATCTAGAGGAAGAACAAAAGAGCTGTCGACTTCATAGCAGCATTATTTTTTTGTTTTCAGCACAGCCGCTCTTATTTCTCCTAAAAAAAATAAAAGGACACTCGGCTTTTTGTTCCAAGCAGACTTTGAAACCATTTCAAGTCCTGCTGCCCCGGTTTGCATAACTCCAGCTGATCAACTGTTAGAGATGGAGGTCACAGGAGAGGAGGAAAAAAGCTCTTTTTTGATTTTTTTTTTAAACTTTTCAGAACTTGGGCTCAGTCAGGCGCAATTTTAGGTCCACGCAGAAAAGCTGAGCGCTTGTTTCCTTTAAAGGCAGCCGCTGTCCTTCCCGTCCCGGTGACGTGCATGCCAGCCTAACTCTGCTCTTTGTGTCCCTTCTCTAAGAAAGCTCCACTCTGTTGCATCCAGCCAAGAGAAGGAAACCTAACGGGATGGGGGCTGAACACCCACCCGAACAGAAAGGCAACAGTTTCACGCTGGAGTGAAATCAGGGGCACTGGGAAGGTCACCAGTGGTCCGAGCCCCCAGTTACCACCAACTCGAAACAGCCCAAAAACTCAGCAACCCCGCAAAAGGACAAAAGTAAATCGCTGCCGTTTGTGAGGGTCGATCAGGCGAGTTTTAGGTGCAAATAAAAGGCTGTCACGTTCTGCTCAGCAGTTAAAGCCAAGCTATTGTCTGCCACATAGGCAGGAGCAGGGATGCGGGGGGTGTTGGGAGGGGGAAGAGGAGAAATAAACTTTTCAAACTTTTTTTTAAGCCCCTCCTTCCACAACCCTCTGCTCTTCCATGACTCAGCCCCAGAGGAATGTCGGCTCCCATGGAAACCCTTTCTGGGTCCTCTGGTCGGAGGGATGTCGGGACTGTTATCGCTGGAGCGGCTGTGGCAGGGCGAGCCCAGGGAATGCTTTGAAGATGGCTTGTATTTTTGCAGAATATTTAAAAGACAGTTTATTCTCTCTCTCCTTTGTGGAGCTGTGCGCGGATCAGCTTTCCGTATCCCCCGGGAGCCAGAGGGACCGCGTGCACCTGGCACACGAGTATCTGGGCTGCCTTTGGCACTGCCCCACGTCCAGCCCGAACAAAAGAAAAAGCTCAGGCAGGACAGCAAAATGCTGTATCGCCTGCCCTTCCAACCGAGGTCTGCCCAGGGCTCATCTGCGAACCACGGCTTGCAGCCCCGGTCTCATCCATGCACTCCTCTTGATACTAATTTAACTGTTTCCCAACACGAATGCGATTTGCAGCCTAGACAGACTGTGACAGCTCCAACCCAGCACACAGCTATCGTGGCATATGGGCTCTTGCCTTTCTGCCCATAAGGCCTGCAAGATCTGGAGCATTTGTGAGGGCAATCACAGCTGCTCAGCCCCCTGCAAGGGGAATGGGTTAATACAGCGCGGGGGTGTAGACGTGTCTTTAGTGACTCTGCATGGACAGATGTGGTAGATGACAGATTTTTTTTCCCCTGTGTTTTCCTGAGAGTTTGTAAGCATGTGCACGAGCTAAATGGAATTTTACTTCTGTCTAAACTCGTCTTGGCTTTCTGAGCCTGCATGCTGTGTGCCAGGGGATGGCGCAGGTGGCAGGAGCCAGCCTGGCTGCTCCCCAGCCCTCTGCTCCTGCCCCGCTCCCCTGGGACCCAGCGCAGCAGCAGCACGTCCACAGAGCCGGCACCTCCAGCAGCACGGCCCGGACACGCAGGGACCTGTTCGACAGGGAGCTTTATGGGGACTCGTGCAAACAACTCTGACTTCAGCTTGAATTTTAGCCCAGGAGTGGCTGGCTGAGTAAAGCTGAGAGGGTCTTGCTTGCACAGGGAGGTCAGGGACAGACGGCAGGCTCACAGCCCTCGCGTTGCATCGCTGTGGTGGCCACACTCGGTCACCCATCTGCATCTCGAAAACTGGCCCACGGTGGGATTTTTAGGCAGAAGCTTCTTCTGTGCCAGTCCTGCCTTTACATTCAGTCTGAGGTGCTGGGGCATGTCAGACCCTGCAGAGCCTTGGAAGAGCAATGAGCAGATGGAGGGTGGGCGCAGCAGACCCCACCGCTCGGGCTGGCGGGGAGTCAAGATGTGGGAGGCGTTTTGCTCAACGATTCCCCACTGCTGCTCTCCTGGTGATGGGAGGTAGCAGCGGGGCTCCTGGCCCGGGTTATGGCAGAGGCAGCTGGGGTCATCCCCATGGACTCAGGGAGGAGCGGTGGAAGTGGCCAGGCAGACTCCTCCC